CCCCCCCCCCCCCCCCCCCCCCCCCCCCCCCCCCCCCCCCCCCCCCCCCCCCCCCCCCCCCCCCCCCCCCCCCCCCCCCCCCCCCCCCCCCCCCCCCCCCCCCCCCCCCCCCCCCCCCCCCCCCCCCCCCCCCCCCCCCCCCCCCCCCCCCCCCCCCCCCCCCCCCCCCCCCCCCCCCCCCCCCCCCCCCCCCCCCCCCCCCCCCCCCCCCCCCCCCCCCCCCCCCCCCCCCCCCCCCCCCCCCCCCCCCCCCCCCCCCCCCCCCCCCCCCCCCCCCCCCCCCCCCCCCCCCCCCCCCCCCCCCCCCCCCCCCCCCCCCCCCCCCCCCCCCCCCCCCCCCCCCCCCCCCCCCCCCCCCCCCCCCCCCCCCCCCCCCCCCCCCCCCCCCCCCCCCCCCCCCCCCCCCCCCCCCCCCCCCCCCCCCCCCCCCCCCCCCCCCCCCCCCCCCCCCCCCCCCCCCCCCCCCCCCCCCCCCCCCCCCCCCCCCCCCCCCCCCCCCCCCCCCCCCCCCCCCCCCCCCCCCCCCCCCCCCCCCCCCCCCCCCCCCCCCCCCCCCCCCCCCCCCCCCCCCCCCCCCCCCCCCCCCCCCCCCCCCCCCCCCCCCCCCCCCCCCCCCCCCCNCGAGTTTACCCTCTTGCCGTAGCTCAGCCCTTCAATCAAACTGATTGAAACATTCCTTGAATCCAAAAGAAACGAGCCATCCGCTACCACCCACTCTTTCTCATACTGTCTCCCTCCCACTTTCACGCTTTTCGGGGGGGCGGGGAGAGGGAGAGTGAGAGGGAGGAGGAGAATTCTTGGGGGTTTTTTGCCCCTCGTTTCAACCCCTTTCTCTCCGCCGAGCTCTGCGAAAGTGGCTCTTTCTTTTTTCGTTTTTTTTTTTCGTACTGACTTTCCCGGCGTTTTGTGTTTTTATCTTTGTCTCTAGTTTTAGGGGATATCTACGAGCTTTTTGTGGAATACTTTGAGTTTATTTTATGGAGGGTTTTATGAGTGCTTTGAAATGATTGAATTGTTTATTTTGGGATTATGGCTGGAGTTGCGGGATAATTCCAGATTGGTATTCGTTTGTTATTGGAATTTTGAGGGGAGAGGGACTGATGGAAAATTTAATCCTAAATTTTTGGGGGGAGGGGGGGTAAAATCGACCCGGTTTGGGCAGTCATGAGTCGAGAACGGTGGAATGAAATTGTTTGATTGTTTTTTTGGTTTCAGGGGATTTCTTTGAGCTTCTGAGTGAGATCCGAGTCAATCAAATCGTAGCATTTGGTCAGAACAATCATTTGTTTTGCCTTTCGAGCAACTATTATCGCTGACTTACAATTTAGTATCTATTGAATGCAATGTTCAATTTTCAGAACAAATCCGAACATTTCAAATTTGTTAAACATGAAGAATTTTGATTTTCTTAAATATTCTTGGTTCATTTTATGAAGGATTTCATGAATGTTTCCAAATGATTGAATTGTTTATTTTGGGATTATAATTGGAGTTGTGGGATAATTCCAGATTGGCTTTGATTCGTTATTCGAAATTGTGGGTTGGGGGGCCTGATGGAAAATTCAATCCCGCATTTTGACGAGGGGAGAGTAAAGTAAAATCGACCGGGCTCGAGTATTCGCGGAAACGGTAGAATGAAATTTTTTAATTGTTTTTCTGTTTCAGGGAATTCCTTTAAGCTTCTAAGTGAGATCCGAGTCAATCAAATCGTGTTATTTTGTTGGCCCCATCATTAATCTCGCCTTACTCTTCCCCGATTTTTTGTAAATATTCAGCAATCGAGTCCCGTAAAAATTCCTATTTTCATTATCCATTATGAAGAGAATTGGAAAAATTCGAGCAACTACACTGAGAAAAAAAATAATTCTGCCAAGCAAATATGTTTCAAACAAGTGTTCAAAAGTTCTATACAAAATCTCCCTAAAAATTCTTGCCTGACACAATTAATTTGTAGGATTAAATTTTTTTCTCAGTGTATTATCGCTGATTCCCAACTGATTTAAATGTATTAAATGCAATGTTCAAATTTCACAACAAATCCGAACATTCTAGATTCGTTAAAAATGAAGAACGCCAATTTTCTTAAGTACTACTTTTAGTTCATTTTATAATAGATTTCATGAGCGCTTCAAAATGATTGAATTGTTGATTTTGGGATCATGATTGGAGTTGTGAAATACTTTCAGACTGGGCGGAGGGGGGAATAAAATAAAATTTCAATAAATCGCCACCAGTGTGAGATAAATCCTCGAAGTTAAAAATCCAACAGACAAATGTTATCTCTCTCAATTCCTCCATATTCTTCTACCAGCTCATAACATGCTGAATTGATTCAAATTTCCCGTATTCGAAAATTCAAATATATCCCGCGTATTCGGAATACTTTAAATTCCTTCTCCTTGAGCGTCTGCCACGAGAGGTATATTCGCGTTAGGCCGAGGGAAGTTGTACCTCCGAGATTGCTCTATCCAAAGAGCGAAAAAAAACAAACCCCAGAGAATTCAAATAACAAGAGTCGAATTATTCCCAGAGGAAGAAGAAATGGCTTTTCGGTAATTGGCTCTTAGCGCACATTGTTCGAGTAACTGGACTGCTATATTTCAAGAAGTATGAGAGACCTGTCAGTAAGACAGCATCATACAAGCCAAGTGGGCTGAAGTATCCGACGGTGAGAGATGGACGCAAAATTTTCGAGTGAAAAGCGACAGATAGAGAAAGCAAAACGCGTAGTTGAGACCACGTTAAATTCTATTCCGGGCGGACCGAGTCCAACTATGTCGGCGTCTGTTTCTCATTAAATTACGCTCTGACCTCGAATCCTCTAAATTTGGAACGGTCCTCAGTGATTACCTACCATCAACCGAGGGGTCTTGTATAAGACCAGGTTCCACGGAAATTTTTAGAACGCTGGACATCCAGGAAGACATTGCTCAATGAGTTTCTGAATAATTGGGGTCTCTAATTAATGGCCGATTGGGCTACGAAACGGTCAGAATTTCTAGGCTGGTGGATTCGTTGAAGCGGAGAGCGTTGAAACCGATTCATAATCGAATTCTTAATTAATCTTTCACATAAAAGAGAATGGTTTTGAAAATGCGGTTTTGAAACTGCGGGTTGATATCTCGACAGACGTCCAGAAGGACATTGCTGCACAAGTTCCTTATTAATGAATGGCTGATCAACCTTTAAAATGATTAGAATCAATGAGATAGTCAATTCGCTGAAGCAGAAAGCATTCAAATCGCTTGATAATCGAATTTTTTGTCAATTACAGAAAAAGCAATGATTCTAAAATTGAGAGAATTGTTCTTGAATTTTGACGATGTTTTGAATTAGAGAACAATTTTTCTGCATTCAAAATCCAGAACGTCTGAGGCAAGAATCAATGGGAATTTTTAGACACTGAAAATCCAGGAAGATGTCTAGGAAGATATTGCTCAACAGGTTTTTTGGAGGAGGTCCTTTAATGAAAGGGAGATCATTAGCCTCCGAAATGAACAGAACCAATGGCTGGCCAACTCATTGAAGCAGAAAGCGTTCAAATTGCTTGATGATTGAATTTTTAATTGATCTTTTACGGATTTTTAAAAGAATATTGTTCTTGAATTATAGGGATTCATTTTTCTAAATTCGAAATTCGGTAAGTAGAAGGTCAGATTCTGTGCGAATATTGTGACGCTTGGCATCTGTGAAGACGTCCAACAAAAAGCCATTGTTTAACAGATTTTGGAAGAATTGGGATCTTTAATGAAAGGCAGATCATTAGCTTGCGAAATGATCAGAAAAAATGGCTAGTTAATTCAGTGAAGCAGAAGGCATTCAAATCGCTTGATAATCGAATTTTCAAACAGTCGTTCACAGAAGGAAAAATGTTTAAAAAATTGGGGATGTTGTTCTTGAATTATGAAGATGTTTTGAATCAGACGACGATTTTATTAATAATTAGTAGATTTCACTTAATTAAAAGGTAGGTAAGCACAAGGCCAGATTTTATGGAAAATTTTTAATGCTGGACATCTAGGAAGATGTCGAAGAAGAGTCGGCACTGCTCAGCAGCTTTTTGAATAATTGAATTTATTAGTGAATGGCTCATCATCAACTTCCATAATTATCAGAACCACTGAAATAGTCAATTCATTCTAGCAGAAAGCACTAAAATCGCTTGACAATGGAATTTACTATCGATTGTTTAGAAAAGGCGGAATGATTCTAAAATTGGAAATATTCATCTTAAATTATGAAGATGTTTTGAATAAGAAAACAATATCCTTCATTTAAGTGTATTTTTACCAGTTTAAAATTAGGCAATTATAACCAGTCTATATGGCAACTTTTCGACGCTGGATATCTGCGAAGAACTCCAGGAAAACATTGCTTAATAGGTTTTTGAAGAATAGGGTTCTTCACCGAAAAGCGGATCATTAGCCTCCGAAATGGTCGGAACCAGTGGACTGGTGAATTCATTGAAGCAGAAAGCGTTGAAATCACTTAATAATCGATTTTCTAATTGACAGAAACGGAAATGATTCTGAAATTAAGATAATTGTTATTTCGAGTCAAGGACAAAGTTCTCATTTAAAGAAGACTCATTCTTTAATTAAGAAGGATGTCCCCTAATTCAAGAGGAAATGAAAAAAAATAAACGTTTCAAAAAAAGAAATTTCAAACGCTGAACATTTAGGAAGACTTGCGCAATAAGTTTTTGAATAATGTCTTATAATTAACCTTCAGAATCTTTCGGGTGGGACCTTCTAGTTGTCAGATTCATCGAAGCAGATAGCGTTAAAATCGGTTATAATCGAATTTTTAATTGGCCATTCCCACCGAAAAAAATTACATTCTCCAGGTTGATGACTACACAGTAATTTCTCAATTATCCGGTCTCCACAGCCATAAACTTAATTGAAAGGTATATGTCGTACAAATTAGAGTATCACCAACGATCGGCAATTGTATTAAATCATCCATCCGTCACGCTAAATCTAATCACAGACACTTACCTCGTATAGTCAGGTTTGCAGAGGACCTGTCCATTCTTTATGAAGCATGAAGCGCCCATTTCTGCCAGGGGATGGTTACAAAAAGCACACTTGAGACAACTGTTGTGCCAGTAGCGGTCGATCGCGTGCAAGAAGAATCTCTCGACTATTCTACCACCACATCCACTGCATGTGTGGATCATTGATCCTTGTTGACCACCTTCCTGCTGAAACATCAAAAGTTCAATTAATCCATCAATTCAATTAGCCTTCTCCATAAAAATATTTAATAACCCATTGAAATAGCCATTTCCAAGATTGAGATTTCAAACTGTTGCGTCAGGATCGGCCAACACGAGACCAAGGTTCAGCAGTTTCTCACGAAATATTCGATTATGACAAATAATTTTGAAATATCTCCATGGGAATGAGAATTGTATCACAGGTTTGGCCGAGATCACGCATCCGTGTCCCTTACGCAAAAGTCAATCTTCTTCGGATCACTCGTTCGAAACGGTCACGCATAGAAAGCAGGAAAGGGTTCCCCCATCCCGGCTCTAACCCGGAGCTTTGTCGGTTTCATGGTCTACCTTGTCATTTCCTGAATTCTCTTTTCAATTAACATCACCTCAGACTGATTCATTATTTCATAAAAAAAGGCATGAAGTCATCGATAACCAGAAGTCGCGAGTCTGATGAAATCGAGAGGTTAGTATGAGTGAAACGGAGCAAAAAATCCAACGCGCATATCATGAAAATTGAAAATTCAAGAGCATGTCCTTGTGTTTCGCGCTCCATGCGTCGGACATCCATTCCCAGCGTCGCTGTAAATATTCCTCCCCACCTCTCTCAACAATCTCCCACCCCATGCCCACCCGCCCCATTCCCTCCACCTAAAAAACCTCTTTCTCGCTCCTTCTCTCTCGAGCAGTTGAACAAGTGCACAATTGGATCTTTCGATTCTCCTTACTTTGATGTTCACGGGAAAATACTTCTGGTTCATCCGCGCCGTGATGGCGTTGTAGTGATGATGCGCGTGCACCTCCATGAGGAAACGCGTGCCGACGGATGAATCGTCAAATCAAACACAAGGATTAAAAGTAAGCCCCTCGTTCACCAAGTTGTAATCCAAAATATTGTGCATTCACTTCACCACTGAAAAACCAACAAAACACAATTTCACTGTTTGCTTCTCGATAACGGAGGGAAAAAAAAACAAATTTAACTGAATTCACTTTCACACAGAGCCAACAATCCTGATATAAAAATATTCCATGTAAAAATCCACAAGGCACCTGAATAACGCGGTATCGTGTACAAACTGGCAAACGAGGACGACTGGTTTTATTCTGGTAGTTGAGTGGGAGCAAAAGGAAGAGGCCAAAAAAGGAGGAAAAAAAGCAAAGAAAAAAACGTATTGAAGCGCTTGTAAGTGAGCGTGTGGCGACTCGACCGTACGGTAACACGAACCAGCCCCGACCGAAGTCAGGACCCAACTGACTGCTCGGGGTCTGCCGGTTTGCTTTGGGGCCCTGAATGCCTCACGGGGTCTCGGGGTTCAGGTACCCCAGTGCGTTGTTCCCTTGTCCACCATAGAGTGCTTGGTTGGGTAGAGGGGAGGACGAGAAAGAGCTGAGAAGAAAAAGGAACGAAATAAAAAGGCAAAGCCTAGAAAGGACCTAACTAACGTTGAAAGAGGGAAGGGTCCGAGTGCCTGGCATGTTTTTCAAGTGGTGGGAGAATTATTCGGGCCCTCTTTCTCTCACTCATCGGCGTATTTCTCCCCCCCGCTGTATCTGTCCTCCTCCACCATCTCCGCCCCCTTCCCTTTTTTCCCCTCCATTCAATTATATTTCTCCATGGTAAATACCCATATTGTTACGTTTGTCAATGGTGAGCTAAGTGAGGGTCACGTAGCTGGATAATGCCCATAGAATTTCTTTCTCGATTGCTCTCCCCCACCCCTTACCTCTTCCGCTGCATCCTTCAACTTCACTCATCCTTCTCTATTTGTTATTTTTTTCTGCGAGTCTTCCTCATTCTATCTCTCTGATTGCTACGTGCAAGTGATTCTACATGCTCCAACGCCCACTTTTACCTGTACATTAATTACCAATTGACCCCACCTCATCGCTGTGTTCCAAGAGTGCTGGAAGTACAAAGGTTTCCAACAAAAAACTGTGAAATTCATAAAACACGAAATTACGAGAATTAACTGAATATGCCTTCCTCAATCGTTGGCTTTCTCTCTCCGATAGTTTCATAGAACTGAGTACTTAGAAAGTGTAGGCCCCAGCAGTATGTAGGCGCACTTACGAGGTATTCTCAAACACCTGATGATGCAAGATTCTCTATTGACGGCACCTCGGTTCTTTCCCTCAGTCTCATTTCACACGGCCATAAACCATTATCTTGGGTAAAAAATCTAACCTCACTGCTTTGGCATGTCACTGCCAAGTGTTACACAAGCTATTTTATTATTCATCCCGCGTTCGATGTCTCTCGATGTGGATCGACAATCAGAAATTGTCGAGTGACCTTTTTCAACGAAAGGTCGAAGAATCTCCAAACAATGGAACAACCAAAAGTCAACAAGACGTCACATCTTTACCTTCAATGTACAATTATACTTATGGTTGACAGGTACTATGATCAATCGTTCACAGAAAAAGAAATGATCCTAAAAGTAAGATCATTGTTTGAGGATTATACGAATGTTTTCATTTAAAGAACAATTTCCTTAATTTAAGTGCAGTTTAAACGATTCAGAATCGGGTAAGTATTGGGAATTCAGATGGGGGCGGAGCATAGGTCGCGGACCCTACTTGCACGTGTTCACATTTTCGCCACTCGACAGTAGCTCCTTGGAAGAGATAGGGCTCGCAACCTACTTATACGGGTTCCTATCCCGTCCGATAGATAGAGTATTTGAGTTCTTAACTCCCCAATAGCGCCAGATTATGTGACAATTTTTCGATGTTAGATATCTAGGAAGGCATTGCTCAATACATTTTTGAAAAATTAGGTTCAACCTTCAAAATGATCGGAATCAACGAGATAGTCAATTCATTGACGCAGAAAGCGTTGGAACGCTTCTAAAATTGAAAATATTGTTCTTGAATTACAAAGATGCTTTGGATTCGAGAACAATCATCTTCAATCGACCTTTCTCAACGAAAGGTCAAAGAATCTCCAAACAGTGAAACAACCAGAAATCAACAAGCCGTCACATCATCCTTACCTCCGATGTACAATTGTACTCATGATTGACAGGTGCTGTGATCAATCGTTGACAGAATAAGAAATGATCCTTAAAGTAAGATTATTGTTTTACGATGGATTATACAAATGGTTTCATTTAAAGAACAATTTTCTTAATTTAAGTGCAGTTTAAACGATTCGTAATCAGGTAAGTATAGTGCCAGATTATATGACAAGTTTTCGATGCTAGATATCTAGGAAGGCATTGCTCAATACATTCCTGAAAAATTAGGTTCAACCTTCAAAATGATCAGAATCAACGAGATAGTCAATTCATTGACCCAGAAAGCGTTGGAATGATTCCAAAATTTGAAATGTTGTTCTTGAATTATAAAGATGTTTTGGATTGGAGAGCAATCATCTTCAATCGACCTGTCTCAACGAAAGGTCAAAGAATCTCCAAACAGTAAAACAACGAAAAATCAACGAAACATCGCATCATCCTTACCTTCAATGTACAATTGTTGTTATGATTAACAGGCGGATACGCCGGATGCCCTGGCAAATGTGGATGCGTATGGACAGGATGATGTGGATTGTCGCCCATCATGCCACCACCGCCATGATGATGACCATTGCTACCCATACCAGGTGTTCCACCGATTGAGCCATAAGGTGTACCAGGATCCGTTTGTCCCGAGTGGCTCGGTGGTGAGTGAGGACTCGGTAGATCTGGTGTTGATGTACTACCACTACCACCACCACTGCCACCACCACTGCTGCTATTGCCAGTTGCGTAACCACCGTGATGTGGACCACCAGGCCCAGTATGATGTGGACTACTTGACAACGAGGGATGATGGGGGTAGGCTGCTGTGTGTCCCGGATGGTGGGGGTTCATACCAGCAGTCAGAGCGCTCGCCAGCTTGGCCAATGAGATCGGCGGGCCTCAGAGAGCCCACCAACAACGTGTCAAGGAGGAAAAAAATATTGTTTGCAAGCAAACAATATTTGGGGGAATTTTCAATACTCCGCGGTCAACTGCCGCTTCCTCTTTTCCTCGTTTCTAACCTGAAAGCAGAAATCAAGTCGTCGACGGTTAAAATCCATTCATGTCCTCTTCCTCAGTTGAATAATAAACAACTCATTGTTATTTAATGTGAAAATGAAAAAGTCAATTTATTACATTCCACACACTCAATAATGCATCACAAAAATCAATAATATATGGAACGAAATGCTCAATCAAAGACGAAAATTAATGATTAGAGAAAAATCGTTGAATCATTTTCCACTTTCCAAAGCAACCTAATCGATGCCCGGAATTGTTCAAAAATAAGGGAACTGTTTTAAACAGATTTTCGGGGAAACCGGGGGATTTTCCCGGATTGTCACATCAAGAAATGGAAGACAATCAAATTATGCCGTTCCCGGGAAAATGAAAATTGAAGAAATTGAAATTTATGAGGTACATGAAAGTAAATGATAAATGAAAACCCTAGAAGGAAGAATTGGTTAATTTCACGTATGATAAACAGAAGAAAATTAACAATCGACGGAAAGAATGAGTTGTGAGTCCACTGATCAATCAAAGTTGAGGACTAGCAGTCAGGTAGTTTCGACCTATTTCGACATGAAACAACTTCACGAACTTTTATGTTTTTAGAGACAGAGTGAATTAGGCAAATTCATAAGTTTTTTAAATAAAACCCAAGAAAAAATGACTCTTCAGATCAGACTAACTTCAATGTAAACAAAAAATTTGAAGAAATTTTTGTTGTTGATTAAATCGTCGATATGAAATTATTCAATCGAGTTTATTTTCCTGAATGGGCTATCATACACCATGAGATACATTTTATTCGAATTTAATCATCCTTATCGTATAACACGATGATGAGATTCCTCCGAGATATTTTAATACACCCCATGAATATTCGGATTTAATCAAGATACCAGGCCCAATAAAATGTATATTTTCCGAATACCTTTTCCTCGGGGTTCTATCACGAATTGGCGTAAGATGTATTCAACGTACCCCACCTACAGACGCTGAGATACGGCTGGATGGAAAGTATATATCTTTTACCCAGTAAAACTCTTCATTTTACGAGTATTGTATACAGGCACTTTCCTCTTACCCGCGTCCTTTATACGAAAAACCCCTCTTCACTCTCCTTCCACCGTAGGTTCTCTACAATTTTCCGTTATCCACTCTAATTAAGCATTTTATCGTTTTAATTACATCGCCTTGTCTCCTTACCCAACGGATAAACGACATTCTTCATGAAATTACGATCCCCCTACCGTTTTTTAAGGATAAAAATTACATTAAGTGAGTGTCATTTTGTATCTATCTCAGCCACTCGAAAATTTGTCAATTACGGGATTCGATTTGAAGTGGTTTCAAGGTAATCGTGGAGTTTTCGATATGACGTTTCTGAATTAATCAACCCAAGGAAACCCTTCATCACTTTATGGTGAGATCAAAGGCCATTCAATATTACAAATTCTCTCTTCCAATGAAATTCATTTGCTGATCAATCTCCAGAGGGACCTGTTCTAATGACACAAAAGCTTGTAACTACTCGAGGAACGAGATGAGTACAACGGAAACAGTGATATCAACCTTGGCTTCTAGCCCACCACTCTCCATCTCCATTGTACGTTACGAACAAAGCTAACCCTCTAATTACTCGCCTTTATGATCTTTTCCGTCGTCCAATCAGATCTTCTCATTTCTCGGTTAGTCCCGGCTGGTAAAAGTAATCTCATTAACTCTTGGTCGGCTAACACCCCCTCCTCCGTGCCCTTCTCGCTCTGTTCGCGTCTTCCAGCATTACCCGACCATTCAGAACTTTGTCCACCATTCTCTTCCATCATCTACTTTTAATTTTCTTCGTTTCTAGGGATGTACAGTGAGGAAAATCGACATAATATCACAACAATCGTGTCATGAGTGGAAAATATTGCATATATATAAAACATCGGTGCTCGTCGGGCTTGAGGATATTCAAGTATGTTTTCCACTTTGGCACAGATTACACTGCAGATTTAGCCATTTTCAGTCATCAAATTTGTCAATTAAATTGCAAAAATTTGAGAACAATCATGAATGTTCAGCGCCATTCAAATTATAGTTTGCACAGCATTATCATTATTTTTCAAGTTTGTTGTTTCTAATTAGATAATTGAAATTGTTCTAACTTTCGGAAACTTGATTTTTTTAGGCATAAAATCAATTTCTGGTAAAATTTTGAATATTAATAAATTTGTTACGACTCCGAACAAATGAGTTATGCACGGAGAGAAATATTCAGTAAAAATTACATATCTTTTTCGTAATTCCGGGGCCAAATGTGGTTGTAGGAAATTTTACGGAACTGTCAAGGGATTTTTCCAGTGCTCTCCGTAATTTTTATCTGAATCTCCTGTGAAAAATTCCGATATCGTCGCTTAAATTTTCTGAGTCGATTCCATAATCGGTAAGCGAATTGTGAGTTCCGTAATATATTTTATCAATCTTCTTCCAAAAGTAAAATTCCTAATTTTTTTTCAGATTTGTAAAATGTTTTCTAACGATTCATTGGAATATCTATTACAGTTTGGTACAGATTACGCTATAGATTTAACCATTTTCAATTATTATATTTGTCAATTAAATTGCGTGTGAGAAATATTTAAAAAATCATGAATATTCAGCATCATTTCAATTACACTGTGCACAGAATTATGATTATTTGAAAATTCATTGTTTACAAATAAATAATTGAAATTCTTTAAAACGTATTTGACTGAAGAAAAAATAGTCAAAGTACTCAGACATCCTCAACTTGACCCTCAGAAAAAAAATTGTTAATATCTGCAACACATTTACTTGGGATAAGTAATTGTTCTTCAATAGCTCAATTCTCCCAGGCATCTCAACTCACGTGGCCCGAGAAAGGTCTCACGCTTTACAATATTCTCGTATTTATCACTCAAATCGCGTAGAAAAATCGTCAATCTTCAAATACATATTGTTTATATGATTTTTCTAACGCACTTCATGTTTTGATATGTAATATATTCATGATGTAACGCGTAACTCTAGTAATAAATGAGAATTTATTCGAGTTCCGTGAAGCTTGAAAATAATTTACTTCTTTCAAGTAAATACACTTTACACAACAGGAAAATTTTCCCTTAGATCATGAAATATCCTCCAACTACAAAAAAAAATTCGCGTAAAAATGGTGAATCCCCCGAACGGCCTCAATTGCTAGTCCGGAAAGCCCCTTCAAGACAATGACAAACCATTCGCTCTCTTCCTGGTTTTTAAACTCATTAAAAATCCCAAGTAAATATGTAAAAACATGAATGGTATATTGACAGGGGATTTCCCCCTCCCCCAGTGCTCGAAGACCATTGAACGAACGTCTGCTGCGGGTAAATACGAGAAGATTTATACGGGGCTTGACCCAAACGCAGCCAAAGGGGAGGGGGAACGAGAAGGCCCCAAGGTGACCAGCCGAGTTATTCTCATCGTTTCACATTCTCTCCTAACATTTTCGTTTACCTGTCCAACAAAACCCGAATGGATTAACCAGTGACCCGACAGAGGGGAACACGCCATACCAATACTTAATTAATAACGACGGTCCTTCTTGGTAGCACAGCGTGTGGCTGCGGTGCACCAGGCCCCCGATGACCCTTGGCGACTGATTTTAAAGACCCCAAGGGGTGGATGTCTCCCCCAGGGACATTCTTTATCTCCAGTCTTTTGTGTTTTTGTCTTCACTGTTTCATCTTCAAACCGTTCACTTTTAGTTACCGAGTTTCTGCGGCGACTGGATGACTCTTGTGGGCCCCAAAACACTTCAACTTGATGATCCTGTATCTATAACCGACAGGGAATATCTGAGAACACCTTGCACAGCTGGTGCATCCAATTAAATTTCCGTTGGAAGATAATTTCGTGGGGAAAACTTGGAGGGAAGAGGGGGGTCGTTGGGAAACGGTGATTGTCAAGTTTTTATGCTTTGAGGTATTGTTGTTGGAGAATTTATGGTGGCATTTATTGGCCAATATAATTTGCTATTCTGCGGGCATTTATTTTGCATCGGGAATTTAATATGAAGGACGAACATCCGGGGCTGTATGATAACAATAAACATTTCAGGGAGAGTTGAGGTTCACACTAGAACTTTCCGAAATTAAAACACTTCTGCCTCCGTTTTTATGACGTTTCTGTCCCCAAATTTGAGCCATTTTTCTGCCTCAAGTTAAGATGTTGTAACAGGCACCCAAAATATTGTAGTGAGGTCTCTTTTTTTTAAATACTTCATTCATTTTTTGTTATTGGTCGACCATATTGCATGTAAAGGGTCAATTATTTCTTTACCGACGTCATGAACCAAAATTTGAAAAGCATTTTTCCTTAAAATAATGTTTAAGGTTTCGATGCACTGAGAAAGAAGTTTTTTCGTAAGTACGTTTTCACTTGTATGAAGAAACTCATGTAAAAATTTTCGTCCAGAAATTTCGTACTTGTCCCAAAGACAAGGATAATTTGTGTACGAAAAGAAAGTGTTTTTTCTCAAATCAAGTCTAGTTGAAGCACTTTATTCAACAGTTTTTAAGTTTCAAATCCAAAATATTTTAAAATATATAATATTTAAAATAAAATATTTGATAAATATTTAAAATAAATTTTTTATTTAAAATATTTTGAATAAAAAATGTTTGTCGAAAGACTGTGTACTTGTCCCAAAGACAAGGATAATCTCTTCACGACAAGAATGTGTTTTCTCAAACAAAGTCTAGTTGAATTAATTTCTTCAACAGTTTTAAAGTCTCAAATTCAAAATATTTTAATACAGAAACAACTTGATTTGGTTCGTGAAACCGCTCTCTTGTGTACAAATTACCCCTCATCATTCGGACAAGGACAAAATCTCTTGACGAAAGTTTTCTTCTCTCAATGTGAGATATTTCCTTCTTGTCAATTTCGGATCTTCGCGACCCAAGTAAAGAGGTACTTCTCAAAATACTTTTTTCAAAACTATATTTGAATTCACTATCCATCTTCC